GGATGGGACATGGCAGAGGGTGGGGGATGGCGAATCAAGGATGGCAAGACAAAGGGCAAGGTATGCAGGACACAAGAATTGGGAAATTATTTGCTGAGAACATGTATGTGGATGTGCTTGATTGAGCCAATGCACAGGGTATTTTGGATGGAAAATTCATTTGTGTGTTGTGATGGGGAAAAGTGAATTAATGTAGAAAATGAATAAATTTAAAATTAAAAAAAAAAGCAGCACATCGAAGGCCCTGGCAACCCCAACTGGACGTCAGGGGGATGCGATTCCCAGGGCAGGCATGGAGACAGGCTTGGCAGGGAAGAGACCTTCCTGGGCAGGAGAGACACAGTCTAGGTGGGAGGAGAGCCGCGCCCTGGGCGGGAGGAGGGACACACCGTTGATGGGAGGGGGAGTACCAAGGCAGGCAGAGCACGCTGGCAGAGGTGCTGGAGCTGCCTGAAGGCCCTGTGGGCTGGAATCATTTTTAATAATTTACATATTCCTACTGAGAGAGAAAGAGACAGAGAGACAGGAACAGCCCGGCAGGGCACTGTGCTGTGACACGCCAGCTCCAGCCTGCTCGGGCCATGGCACACCTGTGCGTGGCTGGTGTGGTCAGGAAGGCCGAAATGCAGACCAGGACCTTCCCTGTGGACCGAGGGTTCCCGTTGCACCACTGCCTGGCCACGAACCTGCCAGCTGGGAGCAGCCAGCCAGAACAGGGACCCTGCAGCAGCTGCGCTCTCCCAGCGCCACCTAGAGGTGAGGGGACGTCCTTTCTGAGGGTGTGGCCAGGACAGGGCCATGGCTCAGGCTGTAGGTGGGAAATGAAAGAAGTCTCTCTGGGGAGTTGAACTTGTGACACGTGTAGGTGTGGGAAAGAACCCAAGGACGTAACAGAAACTTGTCCTAAACTCCTGGAACTCACAGTCCCAATAGGCCCAGACGCAGGGCCATGCTGCAGGGCCACGTGACCCAGGACCCACAGAGCCTCATGGACATGGAATCCCCATAAAGAGGAGCCAGCAGCTGTGTCAGAGCACACGTGTACCTGACATGAAGAAATGGTGGGGGCGGGACCAGCAGTTGGCGTAATGGCTATGTCACTGGACTCCCATGTAGTTGACCACAGTTTGAGTCCCGGACCCGGTGGCTTAAACTCATGCCAGGGGCGTGTGTGTGCGTGCCCAAGATCCCAAGAGGAGAGTGGAGGAGAAGGGATTGCGGCATGGCCATCCGCCCTGGGGGGTGATTTCTCGCTTTCTGTCTCTCTCCATCTGTCTGGCGAGTGCATGTGCCCTATAGCGAAAACCTCTAAAAAAAAAAAAAAAAAAAAAAGAAAGAAATGGTGGGGAAGACCGGGCTTCACTGGTGAATTCTAACAGACAATTTAAGAAGTAGTATCAATTCTTTGTAAACCTTCTTAAAAAAATAAAGTCAAGAATAGTTCTAGTCATTCTAGGAAGCCAATATTAGCCTCAGCTAAGGAAACTCCTGGTACTCTTATCCACTCAACAGGAAGTTTATTCTTTTAAAAAAACAAATTGCCAGCAGGTGTGTGCACTTGCCGGCGAAAGAGTGAGAGACACCGAGAGAGAGAAAGTGGTAAATGATGCTCATGAGGGACCGTCATGCCGCAATCCCTTCTCCATCGCTCGTTTGGGGTTTTAGGGCTCGCATGCACATGCACCTGGCGTGTTTCTCAAGCCACTGGGTCTAGGGCTTGCACCACACACTCAGCCATGTGGAATCCAGTCACCTTAATCCCTATGCCACTGGCTTCCTTTTAGAAAGCTCTGATTCTTGGGAGGTTCATTAGTTATAGCGAAAACCTCTCAAAAAAAAAAAAAAAAAAAGAAAGAAATGGTGGGGAAGACCACAGATGCCACTGACTGCGAGCCCACACTGATTAGATGCAGAAATAACAAGGCTAAGAGCCAGCAAACAAGTCCCGGAAGCCAGGGGAGGAGCCAGAGGAAAGGGCAGGACTCAGGACTCTGAGCGAGCCAGGTGGGGTGTCGCAGTGCCGCAGCTGGACCCCTGGGAGGGCTCCAGGCTCACCACCGGCCTCCGTGCTCACACCCGCACACATGTCTGAGATCCGGTCTGGCCGAGCCCGGGGGTGGACGATGTCATGAAGTCCCTGTTAGGGTTCCCCCAGCTCCCATGGAGCAGATAGTTAATGAAGTTCTTACAGAGAAAAACGAGTGGGTTTGAACAAGCGCCAGGCAGGTTACCTACAAAGGAGAAGGTATCCACTCAGGACCGGGCATTAGACGCAGAAAACACAAACACAAGTTTCTCGCCAGCTGTGTTCTAGAACAAAATGAGATCCAACAGAATCTGCCGGAGGACGGACTTGGTGTGGCCAGGGCCTCGCAGGAGAGGGGCTGGCCCAGGAACACGTTACTCCCCTCCCCACTGTGTGTCAGCTGCCAGAGGCCATCTGTGTGCCTGTGTGTGCCAGAGACAGAGACAGAGAGGCTCTCCAGTGGGCATGGCCACAGAGGCTCCAGGTGGGGAAGGGTCACCTGTGGTCGACCCAAGGCCGGCTCCCGGGCAACGAGAGGAAAAACGGGCCAAAGAGAAGCGAGAAACCTCTAGCAGGAAAGGTCAGGACCCCGGCCGCAGGCGGACTGACACGGCAAGGAGGAAGCAAGGAGGGGCGGGGTGGCTCCAGAGCTGGGCTGGGAACATCCGGGAGCCCCAGGTGGCCCGCAGACCTGCCGGCCCCATCTGGAGGCGCGACTCTCCTCTGGGGGCGGCCGCGGTTCCCCCCGCCC